CGCCGCACATTTTGAGGGGAAAAAAAGAAGTTTATATGCGCCTTATAGTCGTGAAAATACGGTCATTTATAATTAGCTTGATACAGAAGGTAATGTAGAGCTCAGTTGCTGCTCCACCATTAAATAAAATGTTAGCAGTTACCACTGACCCCTAGGTGCCACCAGGTGGCGCTTTATTCATCTCAGGATATTTAAATGATGTCTGGTGTCATTAAATCCCTTTTGCTGTGATTCATGGCGTTTGACTATTTTAGCCTTCAACAATAAAATGACATAAAGACTTGCTCTATAGATATATTTATTTCTATATATTAAAGCATATATAGAAGGTCATGCTTCAGACTGCTGCTTAAAGATGACAGGTTGATCTTTGTGGTCATTGCTGATTTGCTGTTCCTATACCTCTGATAGCCTGGTAAAAGGTTACATTGAACCAATATTGATATTTTTCATTTAATATAGCAATCAGAGAGGAAATATGGATTAAAAGGGCAAATCCAGTATTGTTTATCTTATATTTATACGAAAGTAATGCAGGCAGTGTTATTTCTGTAGCTGTAAACATGGAGGCCCTGGGAGAGCTGTGCAGGGCTGATGGTGGCTCAGGAGGGGAGGCTTTGTCCTTTTAACAGTGGGTTGCTAGTTCTAGCCCGTCTGTCTGAGTGCTGCTGTTGGTTAGAGCTTTTAGCCATAACTATCCTTCTGTAAAACTATAACCGCTTTCTTTTCTTCGTTTCTTCCAGTATGCTCAGCAGTGGCAGCAGTACTACCAAAACCAGAACCAGTGGAACCAGTATTACAGCCAATATGGTGGCTACCCTGGACAGGGCAGCCAAGGCTCCTCTTCTGGTTCCCAGTAGCCTCCTCCTGCATCTGCTCCTGATTCTGCCAGTCTCCTCCCCAACACCTCTGACCTCTGCAATGAATTCATTTTCTGTTTTTGTACAGTTTCTCTTTAAGTCACCAATTATGGATCCTGTCTGTTTTAACACACTAGCCTCTGTTTCTTACACACATTATACAGCTCGTCTGTTTATTTTTACTGAACCGAGTCTTTAAGCGTTGAACGTGAGGTGGTAGATGATAGCTATTCTGAACATGTAATGAATGTTAATGATTATGCATCAGATGTGGATGTCTGACCTCCACGTTTCCCTCAGTTTGAAGAGGTGACTGTATATTTATAGGCTACAGAAAGAAAAGACGACAGGAAGAGAAATTCTGACTAAGATTAACAGAGAACAAAATGCATGCTTCTTACCTTTATTACCCAGCCCTCTGTCTTGCTTTTTACTTTTCAGTTGCTGAGTGAGCATCTTTTATTTACCGCAATAGAAACCGAACATTATGGAGCATTTTTATAGGTGTTGGTACTGTAGTATTTAATCTGACCTTTGATTGAGTAATCCTTTGCCGCTTGTGTAGTTGTATTTGCCTTTTTTTAATTTCCATCCCCTTTATATTCATCGAGTCTTGTAGTTCAAGCCATTTTTTTTTCTACCTTAAAAGAATCAGATTTTTGACCAGTTATGCCAGCTGTTGTGTCTTTATACAATAAACACAGTTGTAAATGCCACTGGATGTGTGGAAGATGTCTTTTCCATTCATTTGTGAAGTAAAATGAAACTCGACACTTGATTTATACCTGTTGTATTCCTCTATTTTTCTTTTGGAGAAAAAAATGAAATCAAAGGACAAAATATGGAATCTGAAAATAATTAGACCATGTGTATTGTTTCAGTGCAGTCCTGCTGAACCGTAAATATTTTCATGTCAGATGATCCAAGATTATGTTTGCATGTTGCTTGAAAACAAACTACTTTTTATTTTTAGGCCACAGATCAGTTAATGCAACAAAAGTCTAGGCTGGTTAAAGTTTTCATCCAGATCCACATGAAGGCACATGTTTGCTTACCTAGTTACTAATTGTCATATAGCTGCCGGAGTTAAACTGAACATATTTTTTACTGCCTAGTGTGTGTGAAGGTGTCTATAGGCTTTCAGAAACTCCATAAGAATCTTAGCACCAGAAATCCAAGGCACCCTTGCTTGAAATAAAACATGGTTTTCATAAATTACGCAGGACAGTCGATGCCTAAAACTAACAGGACTGGTACATGAAGAATGACACAGTTATCAAGTCCATTTACAGTTGCTGCTGTTCCACAGCCAAAATTCTGATAAGTTCAATGTCACTGAGACGCAGCTTCAGCCCAAACATGGCCGCGCTGTCTGAGCAGGAAGAGGGAGCCTCAGTCCGGCTCTCGGCTTTTGTCTTTGTGCAGATGCAGCTCCTCCAGTTTGTCCTGCAGGAAGGAAACCGGCATGGAGCAACCTCTGCTTCGGTGTGGCAGCGTCTTGGACTGAAATGTAAAACGAATAAGATGTTTTAGTTATTTTATTTTTATTCCTGTGAAATAAGAAACTTAAATCCAGCAACACACACACAAAAAAAAATACTGAATACAAGAACACTAATAATACAGTCCACTGCTCCTCAAGGGGATTGGTTAAATTCAGAGCTAAATTTCTCCAATATGAGATCAATAAAGTTCAATTATTAATAAACAAGGGGTGTGAAATCTGGCTATCTGCCAAATACATAATTGAAATGAAAAACAGACATTTTACACAACTCAAAACTAAAGTTTCATTTTTAGCTGCAATATACAGAAACATTAGTTTCCAAAAACTCAAATGTTAACAGCTAAAACAAAAGTGCATAAGGAACCAGTGTTTTTGCTCATTAAGTAAAAAATGTGAGCATATTTGCTGTTTTTGATTAGATTCAGAATTACCCTTTGATTCAAATTACATTAATAGGTATTGTACTTTATGCAGGCAAGCAGCCATTTTTTGTTTTGTTTTACCTTATAGAAAAGGCTGTCTTTTAACAAAATATTTAAGTACAATCTGATTATTTTTGAAGAGTGGTGCCATACTCTCCTTTTTAAAGTTACCAAACCTTATTTGCTTCTGCATAGCTCTCTTTTGTCAGAACATTTTTATTGAGCATCTACAGCTGGGGTCCCCAACCATTTTAAGGTGGAGGGCTACTTCATGGCTACTGAGTCATAGGAAGGGCTACCAATACTTTCCTATGAACAAGGGGGGTCAGCTTTTACCTAAACTTCCTAATAAACACCTCTTTATTGTTAACTTTTAATTTCTAATTTGCTTTTAAATATTGTCATTTTCAAATCTCTATTAATGATAAAAGGCTCATTTTATTTATTTTTTTTTCCATTTTGGGAAGTATTGGATGATTCTCTCAGCCATATTTTAGAATTGGGGACTGTAGGCCACGACATCAAAGCTTGGAGGGAATAAATAAATAAATATTTTTTGTGAAGGAATCATTTTTTATATGTGTGATGTTCCAAGGATGATTAACAATAGTTTTGGTGACAATGAAATACTAAAGATTTGAAATATTTATACCACTAAGTTAAACCGTTGGGGCAGGAGTGAAATGCATGAAAGACTGTTGTATCAAATGACTTACATTTATCACATATAGGTGGGATATTTGGAAAAAAGACTATTGATATTTTTCTTTGAGTAATAGAGTCTATAAATGAATTTGAATTGTATAAAACAGTGTCTGGCTTTGCTTCAGTAGAAGTTTATCAATCAAAGTCTCAGTACTTTTTAACAAATGCACTCACTCTATATGGCTGAAGGTCTTTTCTTTCTAAGTCATTGTCTTTTCCAATCAATGTATAAAATATCAAAACAACGACGTAGATTAAATGATGCGTTTCTCTTTGGTATGAAGCCGGTTTGGTCATTATTACAGTATTTATTAAAGAATTAAACCTATTGACAAGTTTTTTGCATATATTTGCAATTGAGATTTATTAAAGATACTGAGCGATATCAGCCTACGTTTAGTCCATTATTCCCTTAATAAATGATTGTTGCCCTGGATAGGGTTGGTGGAAGGGGGCCATCAAACTGGCCTTTTTATAGTCTTTGAAGAATCTGTTTCAAAATATCATTGAATCTTTTATAGAGTTCAGTAGGCAACTGGGACCGGGTGATTTGCAACCTCTAAGTGATGTAAAAGGTGTTTTTATCTCTATGGGGTGAATATCAGCGTTAAGGCTTTCCATGCATGCTTAATTAAATTCTTGCTGAGTTATAATCATCCAGAAACGTACGCATGGTATTGAAATCCATGTTACATTTTGAGGTATATAAACGGGTGCTTAGCTCTCTTAATGCAGTATTTCTCTCAGAATTAGGTTTTGGCTTTTATTGGACCTTTGCAAAAATTATTGATTTAGTTTTTGCCTTTATTCAGCCATTCAGTTGTGGAGTATAATAATTCCCTTGTAGATGACCCAGTTTTAACCAGGCCTCAGCTGTAGAACAGATGGTCTCACCATTGACACCACAGTTCTTTGGTATACAGAGGAGTTCATGGTTGGCCCAATTAATTGTGTTTGCAAAACAGTCATCAAACCTTCCACATCCATAGTTGACACTATTATGTGTTTGTGCTGATATACTGTTCGGTTTTCTCCAAACAAGCCGGTGACCTTTATAGGTCATAGATCTCTACTTTAGTCCAACAAACTTTGTCCCAGACATTAGTAGTCGACCAAATTACTGCAATGTGCTCTTGTGGTGTGGCTGCAAAAAAGTCCAGATCGTCATCATGGCACTAGAAAGGCTAGATGTTGGTTTTGTGGTTTTTGAGCAGGTATGTTTGCTTTTCTCCCAACATGACACTGTACATCATGAGCAATCGTCTATTTGTTTGTCCGTCCAAAAGAGTTGGTCTAAGAAGTCTTTAAGAAATGTTTTCTGGAAAGTTTGGCTTTCTCCTTTAATCCTTCCAAACTATCAATCATTGATAAGTGTTGGGCAATCTGAGAAGGAGCTCTTGGTTTTTTAATCAATTATCTTAGCATTGCTCATCCTGATATTTTTGATGAATCTACTGGGACGTCCAGTCTTAAGGAAGCTGGATGGCTGTCTTAAGTTTTTCAGTTATTTTTTTCTCTCACTTGCAACTGTCCTAAAATGCTCTTTATTTTTATTGAACGTTTTAATAAACTCTAATTCCACTGACTTCCTTCTTAGAAGGATGGGTAGCGGTGGTCTGTATGGAGGGGTGGTGGCCTGGTGGTTAGGGCATTGCTCTTGGGTCCCAGAGGTTCAGAGTTCAAGTTCTACTTCCAAGAAATGCCACTCTGGGTCTCTGAACAAGACCCTTAACCCCACACTGCTCTCCAGGCGTCGCACAATGGCAGCCCACTGCTCCCCAAGGGGATGGGTTAAATGCAGAGTTTCAATATTAAATTTGAATTCAAATTCTAGAAGCATCTATTCTGCTATTCATTCTATGTATAATCAACTATACACCTATAGGAAATGTTTGTACTTTTGATCCAGTAACTGATCGAAGGTGTGTGTGGGTTTGCATTTGTATAGAAACAAGAATGAGGATTATTTTTCCAATTTCACCATCACAACGAGGACCAGTTGTTGTAAAGTGAGGGCATTTTGCTGGTCCTCATAAGGTATTCTGCTAATGGTTATGTGCATGGCTAAGGTGTCGATTGGGTCAGGGTTTGGGTGAGCTATGCATTGGTAATGGTTCAGTTTTAGGGTTATGTATGGAAATGGTTGAAAATGACTGAAAATCAAGTCAATGGGAGTCAACACGTGATCCTCACTACATATAGCAGAACAAACGTGTGTTTTATCATTGTTTGTCTTGTCCCTCTCTTTGTTCCCCTGTGATGGACTGGTGACCGATGAGAAGGTGTTTGTAGTTCTGAAATAGACCAAAAATCATTTGAAAAAGCCTAGAAATTAGAGCTGGAAATGTTTTGAATATTCCATCCATCCATCTTCTGACACACTTTATCTCTGCTGGGATCACGAGGGGTGGTGGTGCCTATCTCCAGCTGTTTATGGGCTAGAGGCAGGGTACACCCTGGACAGGTCGCCAGTCCATCGCTGGGCAACAGAGTGACAAACAACCATTCACACACACACTCACACCTAAGGAGAATTTAGAGAAGAATGCCGAAGAATAAACCTAACAGTCATGTTTTTAGACTGTTAGGAGAGAACAGAGAACACTCCCTGAGCACATGCATGCTCAGGGAGAACATGCAAATTTCATGCAGGCCGAGAATCAAACCTGCTGCAAAGCAGCAGTGCTAGCCACTGTGCCACTGAGCAGCCCTGTTTTGAATATTATAGTGATAAATATTGATGCTATGGTATTGATTTGACCCTTTCGCCTCTAGGGGCACTAAGACTGTAATCACAGGGAAACTGTTCTGTTCAGCTTTTAAATAAGTTGCAAAGTAGTAAAACAGTAATTCAAAAGCCACCTTTACCATCTTACAGAAATTGATTCTTTATTTCACTGTGTTCCATTTTGTAAACCCTCCCTTTGTTTCTCACCCTTCTGTCTGGAGATGCATGTCCGACACAGTTGAGGTGGTTTCCCCTCCTGTCCCTTCGTTCAGGCGTCCAAACGCCAGGATCGGTCTGAGTGGAGCGGTCCGACAGTGTGGAATCACCTGTGTTGTCTGTCCAGTCTGATGTTCCCCTATTTTGTTCAATCTCATTGCTTTGGGGGAAAACAAAGGCCTCTTCCTCTGAACCTGGAAGATAGAATCAATAATTAGATAGTTAAGACAGAGCTCTGTGTTTGAGTTTTGTGGTCTGTATATCCAGAGGACAAAATACACACTCCAGCTGTTTCCCTTGGTTCTGGAGTCTGGGGCAGGGGTGCACGGACACGACCCGGTTGTGTTTTTGTGTTTCTTCTGGCAACCCCTTTTCACCTGTTCCCTGCAGTGTCGGTGACAGTTTATCCCACAGTCTGAGAGCAAGAGAGGCACAAAATGCTCAAAATTAAACAAAACCACAGAATTTTTTTGAAGGTTTAATTTTTTAACACAAAACTTGACTTTATCGACGTATTATACCCTAAGTATGACTTTGATGTAAATCAATCTGAAATTCATTTGCTCAAAATGTTCAGGATGGTTGTCAGAGGCATGTGAGTAGTTTATAAAGACAGACGGAGAGAAAGCGTCCTGATTTGAGGTTAGGTTGATGATAAGGAGAACTGTAAACCTCAAAGACTTGGAGCTCATTACCAAGTATAAGCTGTCAAATTAATAGCATTTATAAGAATGTTTTAAATTGTTGAATATTGGACACAGCTACAACTATTTAAATTTGACTTTTCATTTCCAGTAGGGAAATCAGGAGAGAAACAAGTGAGTAAAATTCTGAACAGCTTGCTGTTACTCTTGCAGCACTGTCTCTTCTTTCTCTATATTCCACTTGTTTTTAAAATATGAAAAGAAAATTAGTTGTGCATATTTTATATTCATCCTGGTCTTACCTTTACAGTGGTAGCCCTGTTTGATGACCCCCCACATCTTTAAAAGAACAGAAAAGAGGTGTCACGCTGAGCACTGGTTCAAACCAGTAATGCAACAACCTGCTGATACTCACAAAGCCTCCACATGCGTCACAGAACGTCGGCCGTTTATACGTGGTCTCATGGAAGTTATGCATGTCATTGAAGTTGTAGCCCAGCTTGGCGCAGACAGACATTCCTCTCATGAAGTAGGATGTGATTTCTTCTCGGCTGATTTGTCCCTCTCTGCGAAAGAACACAAAAATTGACCATATTACAAACCAAATGCTTGCAGAGTCGTTCGTGGATGTGGAAACACAGCCTCACCTGTCAGTTTCTTGAGTGCAGAAGGTGAATGGAAAGTTGGCTGCTATTTTCTCAAAATCCTCCAGGGAAATGTAGCCATCCTGCTTCAGGTCGTAGTTTTTCATTATGGACTGCAGGGGGCAGTGGAAGAAAGAGATCTTCAGCTTTGACAGTTCCACTTCAGAAGTATCAGAATATAAGGAAGTGAAAAACAAGAGTCTGCAGTGAGGACCTGTACTCACATCAACCATCTGTTTGACGTGTTTGGATATAGTGTCAGAGTCGAGCCTAGGTGTGACCCCGGATCCCCACTCTGCCACGACCGGCGGTTTAACTGGAGCTACAGGCTGTGGACCGACACACCAAGGACTATGAGAAACAAGAAAAAAGAGCACACCCACCACATAACACACTTCCCTAACGTACAGCACTTTGATGTGGCTGACTTTGAACTATTTCTGCATAGAGCCTGTTCTTTTGGTTTCTAGATGTTACACCCACAGAATGCTCAAAAAATGTCCATTTGTCTTGTGAAAGCAGGTTACATAGGCTCACTTCATATCTCCGTACCTGAATCTTGGGGTTTTTGGGTTCCTTGTGATACGACAGTTCATATATCTCGTCCTCGGTGTAGTACAGATCTAAAGACAGCTAAAAATGTAAAAAAAAAAAAAAAAACATAAATTGAGATGTTCTGGAAATACCTAGCATCTCTTTTTTTCTCTTCTCATACCGTGAGCAGGTGCAGAAGGTCTTTGTTGGCCTCAAACGGTGGCTTACAGTTGTGAATGTCCAGCAGGTCGGTGATGTTACTGTACAGGTGCTGCAGTTTGCTCAGGTTTATCTTCTCCTCATCTATGTAGTCTGGAAGCGCTTCATTTAGGGAGATGAGGTCCTTAAGGTGCACACCCAGGATGGGCACCTTAAAGCCCTTGCATTCATTGTAGACCCGCCGGTAGTTGCTGTAATTGCTTCGCGAGGAGAGTAGTTCTGTGAATTCACTCAGTACCTGACGGATTCAAGAGAGATAGAGCTTATGATAAACCATATGATGCTAAAGTGAAGATGGCATTGATATTGACTTTAAAAGACCTTTAAGTAGACCTCTCTTATGTCAAGAGTCTGTCACATCATTTGTCAAGAGACTGCTGGCTAGCAATTGCTACACCATGCTCAAGAAACTCCTGGCTGTTTACATGTGTCATTCCATGATGGTGCAATGACCTACTGAGGGCTGCCACAACAGGGACTCTTATCTATCTTCTAAACTCTTGAAGACCCAGCTCTTAAAGGTATGGAAGACAAACTTTTATTTCCGGGTGGATCATCTAAATAAGTGGTCCTTCTAATTGCCAATCATTCTGGTGATCTCTTTAGGTAAGGCCGTCCCACGTGCTCGTGTTGATAGCTGTTTTTTCTGCGCATGCACACTTTAAGGCGTTTATCTGTGGTGACCTACGTTTTCAGACAGTCATTGAAGCTCACCTTTCTCACCGAGGTTCTTTGAAAATGGCCAAGGGTTGTATAAGGAAAATGTGTCTACAAAGTGTCTGAGAAAAAAAGAAAGGCCTCAGAAGCGGCCGATATTTTTAAGTGGAGAGCTCTCCTCGCAAAGCATTATGGGATTTGCTGTCAAAGTGGCCTGCTGTCGCCATGGACTGTCGCTACCCGACAGCGGCGATTAATAACAAAGAAGGCGGAGGCACGGCGCAGTGGAGAAGGAGTTATGTGACCAACGGAGTAAAAAGCAGTGATCATCTGTCCAAACAGTCAGTTAACTGAGTTTGTAATCAAGTCCACTTTATTGTCCCGCTCTATATGGTGATTGAGGGATTTAGGGATTAGGGCGGACGTTCGGGCAAAGTCAGCTTGTATGAGCTATGAGAACAGAAACTTTTAAACTGAGCATGCACCTGGAGAAATGGGACTGTGCATGCTCTTGCATGCGTATCTTTTTTTTAAAGTGGAGAGGGCTTTTAAAAAATCACGAAAATCCTCAACAATCCTTTAAGAGATCCTCTCCTATCCGTACTTGCCTGCCCCCTCCACTGCCCTCTGCATGTACTCTATTTTTATATACTCAGCAACCCCTGACAGTTCCTAAATTGTAACCTTCCTCCTAAAACGCTCTATTATAAACTTTTATATTAGCTGTTTTGTCCCAATTTTAAAGGTCATTTTGGATAAAAGTCACAACCAAAATACATAAACATTTCAACTGTAAGATAACTGTTCCCCCCCCAAAAAAACATAGCTACAGCACTGTCATTGCTGATGTCTTCTGGACATACATATCTGTTAAAGCTGTCTAGATGATATTAACCTTGACTCTCTAAATGTCAAGATTCTTTCATACTTTGCTTTTTAACTCATTTTTTCCCCCATATACAAGAAAGTCTATCTTATTGGAAGCAACATGTAAACAAACAACAAGCAGGTGCAACTCTTTCTGCTCAGAATGTTGGTGAAGGGGGTTATCTAGTCTGTTTTGCAGAAGGCTTATGATCTTGTTGCCAGTGGCAATAGATGGGGATTGCTTAAGTGGTATTGGGTATATGACTTTCTGTTCCTTCTATCACCAAAAACAAAACAAAAAATGCTAATGCTCTTTTTCAAGTCGGACTTTTACCTAACTTTTAACAACTGACCAGTTTGTTGTTTTCATTGATGTTAACCTTTAGTCGTGAGTCAGAAATTCGTGGGAGGCATGGTTCCGTTGCTGGTCTATGGCTTGAGTTGACCTTCAGTGTGTGCAAGGGAAATTTTCAACTAAAATGTGAACCTCTCTAAATGTTAAGATTTCCCACCTAAAAACATTGGACTCTTCCTTTTTGGTTTTGTTCAGTCTTTGACTAAGATAGGGGAAAACCATCTTTGTTTCTTTTGTTTTTTGGTTTAACCATCTGGTCAGGTTACCTTTCAGTCAACATCTTTCTGTGGGTTTCCAGGTTTTCCTCATCAAGAGGCTACACCTGGCTTAACTCACTGGAGATATTATGTACCCCCTTTGGCCTAGAATCACTTTGGAACAGCCATCAGCAATTCTAAGGCTGAGATTATATTTCTGGGATTCCCTGTTCTAACATTACCAGTCCACTTCAGGGAGCTCAGAATGAATTAATCTCCATTTCTCTAACTGACCAAAAGCTTTTAGGTACATTCATACTTTATATTTAGAACTGTTTAAGCCTGCACGCTTGTGTACTGCAATACCTCTAAACCAAACCGCTAGATGGAACCAGCTGTTATATTGACGATGACATAAAAACGGGTCAGTGATAGAAAAAAGGGTCAGTGTAACAGCTCAAATTATTTATTGTTTTATATTAGGAAAATGTTGAAGTTAAGATGTAAAATAAGGTTTACAGATAACCTTTACACCCTTATCTACATGCTCAGAGTGTGTTTACACTGTACATCTTGGGTGAAATGTTGTATTGTCACGTTATTGTTGTGCACAGAAAGCCTCCAAGGGAGCTCTCTTGCTTGTAAAAATAAAATGATTTCTCTGAAATGGGGCATTTACAAATTTAGAATCCGCTTTTTTTTCCTACTAAGTTGCTTTGGTCACTAAACCTTAATAAAAATCTCCATAAACTGGTTCTGCTTCATACCTTGCCTATTAATGTCAGCCTGTCATATCAGCATTTTGAAAATCTTTTGTTATTTGTCCCTTCTAGATCAATAAAATCTTTTTAAGTCAGAATTTAACATGGTGGACCTCAGGGTTCCCTTTTAGGGCCATCATTTTTCTTCAAAATATGCTTCCTCCTATTTTGGTTAGAAAAACACTTTTAAAAGAGTTCCTTAAGATATAGTGCAAACAGTTTTACGAAGCTTCTTAGAATGTTGTATGGGGCGACAATGGATGCAGTTTAACCCCGGCTGTATCCGTGTCAGTCATTGTGTCCTTGAGCAAGAGACCTCTCTGCATTGCTTGCTGTTAGTGGTCAGAGGTCAGCCTCTCTACTGTCAATCTGCCCCAGGGCAGCTGTGGCTACAATGTAGCTTGCCACAT